CACACACACACACACACACACACACACACACACACACACACACACACACTTAGCGAATTATATAAAGTAGGATAACTTGCTTATCTTGGTGTTTTTATTTATTGTTTTGCCGCAGTACGCGTTATTACGCAATATGTTGCCATGCGGATTAAAGGTGAAGACCATTCTCCGCAATGACAAAATTGCTCATTTTTCCAGAACAGAGAGTTTCAGTCGAAGGTATGAAAACGGCAGCAACCCAAGGTTTAGGATGGCCTCTCTGTGAGCTCATAGAAGGTCATTTTTTCCAGCTCCGCGGAATAAGTCTGTCGGTACGGGCAATGCATTAAACATGCCAAGGATCGCTAAGGAGCGGTCTAATGGCCAATGGTAGTGCTGATCACCCAATGAAGAAGCCCGCCCGGATTTACGAAGTAAAGGTGAAGTGAAAATAATCGGCAAGTATACGCTGCATCGAATTTAACATGGTCTTCAACAGCGATTGTATTATTATATATTAGGTGTGTGCATTAATTTCCGCCGCCGAATTCAAAGGGCCGTTGCGCGAACCATGTTAGAGGTTTACCGGTGAAACCTGTTATATTCTGTGAGGTAGGGTATTGGCTACCTACCTAAGGGCAGACAGATCAGTTTTTCCCCAAAATCTTGTTGCTCTCAGACCGATTGATCATGGAACATGATAAACCGCTGTCCCGGAGGGTCCTTCCCTTCCTGTTTGATTTCAAGAAAACTGGCATTGAAGCCCACCGGATGCTTCTATGGAGGACAAGCTTCATCTAAACGAACCTGGTGAGATGGTTGCGGAATGTTCGTTGCCAAAAAGTAATGCTGTGTGTGCATCTGGTGGTGGGATCAAAAGGGTGTTGTGCACTATGAGCTGCTGAGCCCTAATGAAACTGTTACTGCTGACCGCTACGAAAACAAACTTGAACGTTTGTAGGGTGCTCTCACCTAAAAGCCGCCGTTAACCGCAAGAAAATATCATGACGTGCTGTTCCACCACGAACATGCCAGACCCCATGTTGCGAAGAAAGTCCTTTAAAAAAATTGCAGTTGTTGAATGGAATAAGCTTGTTCAGCCCGTATACTCTCCGGATCTTGCTCTTTCTGATTACCACCTATGCCGGTGCATGCAAGTCAGTTTGGCAGATACACGCTGCCGGAATGCAGAAGAAGTGCGAAAATTGGTAGATGGCTGGATGGCCTCAAAAAATGAAGACTTTGTAGAGGTGGAGTCAACAAGACACCAGAAAGATGGCAAGAAGTCGTAGCTAACGATGGGCAATACATTGGTTAATGTACATTTGGTTTTAATTTTGTAACAAATATGTTTTTGCACGCAAAAAACGGCGGAAATTAATGCACACACCTAATATTATATGGTTCCAAACTGCAGAAGGTGGCAGACGGTAGTGAGGCTCACGATGCTATGTGACGTTGAGTGCTGGTCTTTCAGCAAAACCAATGGGAGTATTACCCGTTCTGCTTAATTTAGTATTCTGTGATGAGCATTTGGCTGATCGCGACTGAACAGTTTATGACCGAGAACGTAAAACCGATTACGTGTAGAGTGCTTTCCACTTAATGGCATGGCTGCTGTTCGTGAAGGATCAGGGGACTACTCATAAAAACTAGGAAGATTGAGTCTCGCTACCCTAGAAACAGAAGGGCTCCAGAGTAAATAAGAAAGTGGTAATTTGAAGAGACCTCAATCAGTTCAGGACCAAGACAAAAGACGATATATGAAAAAGTGATGGCGGGCTAGTAAGGATGGCAACCGCTACAGCACTATGTAACCAATTTTGAAAGAGGAAGAAATGCATTGAATTTTTGGTACCTTACATATTGCAACATTTAATGCTTCTCGTTGATACTATTCTGAGAAGACTTACTACGAACAGGAAATTCTTGGAGATTTGGAATCGAAAATTGCAAAATTATCATTTAAGATGCGATCAACGTCAATGTCAACCATTATAACGAACGATGAACGGATATGTATACTTTCTATTCTCTATTATCAACTTTCTATTTATTCAGTTCAAAATAGTGTGTCGAAAATGGCCACTGCAGGCGTTGAAGGCAAAGCTGCGTGCGATTCTCAGCTGATTAGGGTTCGCGGCAATCTTGTTCTTCCGCGAATAATAATGCAATTGAAACCTTGCCTTGTCTACTGACTTTGCCACGCTCATAGGCAGTTCTGCTTTGCTTGTAAGGCTTCTTCTGCACGGCACACTCACTGCTAACAGGCTGTCTTCTGCTGTTCTCTTCTCTTGTCTCCCTATTTCATCCTCGATCCCTTTCGTCCCCTTCGTGCCTTCACCTTTTCTCGTCTACCAGTAATGTGTGTAGCGCTGATCCTTTTGGCAAATGCTTTCTACAAAGTATATTATTGGCTATTTGATTTGTGTGAACACGCATTTGTATCAGCCCTTCTTCTAGCTACCGTATTCTTCTTCTTTCTGCCTGTGCTGTTCAATTTGGAATCGGTACGTGCAATTACATATAATAAATCTAGCTAAGTTTGACATGGCTCAGTTGTGTTGATTGGTGCAGGTATTGAATAATATGACGCCGTCTTCATTTCATCATTCTAACTTCCCTTATTCCAGTCCCTATAGTTGTTTGTATACGAACGCTCATGACTTTTATGCTATGCATTTCGCGATTGCTTAAATTTATCAGATCACTATCTTCTTCGGATGTAAGAAACTTTAAGAAGAGTGGGTGGCTTAGTTGGGTCTCGTTGTCTGCTACCATACAAATCCATAGAATTTGTTCGACTTGGAAAACGCGACCTCGGAACGAGAGCATACCTGTACTCCAGTCCAATACCACGCCCTCCGTGATGCACTATGCAATTTTCAGTACTTAAGGTCAGATCGACTCTTCTATGTATAGTCGTTTGCTATCAGGTCTTATCATTTCGTGTTATTCCTACACTTTTTCTTCGACGACAGATCTTCATGAGATTAATATTAGGCCGACGACTGCTGTCCAAAGAAGGGTGCAACTGCTCTCAAGTCACCTCAATGATTTTCCGTTTTCACGTTGTACATGGCGAAAATTTCGGACAGAATGGAATGTAGAATGGTTATTCAAGAGGTTTCTGAATGGGACCAAAAGCAGGACTTAATCAATAGTTAAATGCACACAAAAAGGAGTGACGAGTCTAGTTCACTTTATTCCTTTTAATGGCTCGTGAGTCTAACAATAAGAAGGTTGCTCAGAACAATTCATCTTCTAAGACAAACCCTCTTCAAAAGCTTACCATCTGATGAACCGTATTTCTCTGTGTTCAACTGGGTTTCTATCTGTAATTGAATATATGTTCATGAAAATGTGATGATTAAAGAAAAGGCAGTCATTGGCTATTGCATACTTTTATAATTGAGGCCATTTCCGTGCTAAGGCACGATTACCAGCAAATGGGTGAGGAAATAGTCGCACCACTTTCCTTCTGCGCCGCTTCTTTACGTAATAGATGAGTGAATAAGGACATTCTGATTCTTTGTTCAATCTATTCTTCGAACGAAATGCCTTGATGTTGCCTATGCTTTTCATCAATGAGCATAAGCTGAAGGAACTTTTTTCATCCACGAATAAGTAAAAGTTCCCTGACCATCTAAAATCAATGCTGGAAAGTTATCTAATATGAGGTTTAGTTAACCTCGTAAGTGGATCTTCCAACAAGATTTCAGTTGTACCAGTCGCCTTACACTTGAACTTTTCTTGGAGGCAGACTTGTGCAGGTGGGAGCGCTGAAAAGCCGAGGCGATGAAAGACTCCAGCCACTGCACAGAACAGACCCTTTATTTTTCTTCAGCTTCGTATGAAATTCATTGCCGGTTTCATTGAGAATGTGTAAATGTCTCGCTATGTGTAACTAATTAGAAACTAACGTATTATGCATGGGGAAATGTGTGGGCTTTAAGAAAGGAGGAGCAAATTGAGTTGCTACTTTTAGCTGATAGTCTTTTCGTTGCAGTTCAATCTCGTTCCTAAGCATATCATTGTAGGTCGAGAAAATTTACTCATTTTACTTTTATCTCACCAGTTGGGCTATGCACGCTAACGCACGCATTACATTAAATAAACAAATGATTTAGATACGCAGTAGTGCGATCATGTAGTTCAAAGCAGTGGTCTCCATAGAAGTTACTTTAATGATTGTCTCACAGAACCTGTCTCCGTAGGAAGGTGGAATGAGCTCATTCTATCGCTATTAACGATTGGATGTGCTCACCGTCTTTATGAGCGAAGTCTCCTAGAAAAAAGGCCTAGCGACTCTTAAATCTCAAGGAAAAGCAGACTGTTATATTAGTAGAGGCTCCCAAATTCCAAAGCGGAGCCGCGATCCCTCATTGAGTCACGAAACTTCCTGGGTAGCGGTCATAATATCCTTATCCTTACTATATATAAAGCGCACGCGTCTGTCTTTCCGTCTGTATTTCTCTTTGCACGGAAATTAATAACTCTTGTCCCCGTGGACCTAGAACGTTCAAGTTTGGTAAGAGCAGCGGCAGGATGGAAACACCTCTGGTAGGTGGTATAAAGGCAAGTGGCATGTGGAACGTGGCGAGGTCGAACTGATAACAACGGATAAGAGCTGATAAGGGTCTCAGAAAGCAACACCCATCTACAAAATAAAACCGCAGGAAATCAGTTTGGTGTTGGAGATATGTGGCTTTGGTTCTTTAGTATGGTTCATTTGATAAAACGGCATGGTAAAGTAGGGTGACAAAAAGTTAGTGGTAAATGCAGTGATAGAGAGTCGGACCTAGAATGACTTATAATTGTTACCGGTTGGGCTGCGCACGCTAATGCGTACACCACACGCCCACTACCGCTTACCTACGACTTGTTAAAGGACCAATATAATAGTATCGGTTTACTTCCCATTTTATAACTGTTTCCTCACCGCACTCACGTGACATTTATACTCTTCACCGTGCCCACGTGGTTTTCGGACCTACAAACAAACGGGCCTACAAACAGACACACAAAATTACCGCTTTGTATATAGAGACGGGAGGATCGCCCGGCTGACGCCGGGCTTTCCTCCTTCTTTGAGTTCTAGTAATCGGCAACCGCTCCACCCTAATTTTTGGAACGAATGATGATTTTCTGAACACGAAATTCTAAACACTCTACACTACTTTGGCACAGGACCGGAAAAGAGGAGAGCTGGAATAAGCAGGACAGCGCCAGTGGTATTTAGAGAGTGCCGATGCTTACTCCCGCGATAAGAAGTGTCAATCGGTTGCTTCTTCAACTTGAAAATTATGAACCATCAAAGGTTCAACTGATTGGCGACCAAAGAATTGAGTAGTACTCGCAAATGTTCTCAAGTGATAATAACACTATTACCGGATGCAGTTATCACTGGACCTTTTTTCTTCCACGGGTACATCACTACTTAAGAATCCCAATTATTGACGGTCGGATGAGATTCGTCGTAAATGTTAACAAAACATAAAGTAACCTTGATCTTCCACCGAGCTGCAAACCTTGCTGAGTAGTGAATCTATGTGATAGTCGTATCATAAATACATACATCGTAAATACCACAGCAGGTAAATTCAGTTGGTAAGTGCTCCTATCAGTCGCTGTCAGCTGTTATCAGTCCCTATCATCGGTCGTCTACGATCCCGCCATACTCCACATCACATGCCAAACTGTAAAGGCTCCACTTCAATGCCATTATTATAGTGACTCTACGCCGAGGATTTTCATTAGCCCTTATAAGTTTTATCAGCTCCTGGCACCAACCGTTCTCGATCCCTTCACCGAGTAGCTACGATCCTGTCACATCTTACATAACCTATTAAGATTCTAAGATTCCATTACGAACAGAAAGTGCGTTACGATTGCGACCTAGTGGCTCTCGCCTTCTATGGCTTCTTATCAGTCCTTACCACTTGTTATCACTCCCTGCCATCGTTCATAAACGGTCCCATCACATCCTACCTCACCTGCCGAAGTGCTAATGCTTCGCCGTTCACATGAAGGAAGTTACGGATCAGGTGACTTGCATTTCAAGGCTCCTTATCAGTTCCTATTGATTGTTGCGACTTCCTATTGCCTACCATCAGTGTTCCCATCCTGCCGCATGTTCTTCTACCAAGTTTGAACGCTTTAGGTCCACGGGCACAGGAGTTATGAATTTCCGGTCGGACACACACACACACACACACACACTC